GGGGGGGGGCATTTTTTTAATATTTATTTTTTAGTTTTCGGCGGACACAATATCTTTGTTTGTATGTGGTGCTGAGGATTGAACCCGGGCCGTACGCATGCCAGGCGCGCTACCGCTTGAGCCACATCCCCCAGCCCTTATTGGGTTTTCTTAACTCTTAACTGCCTCCTTAGCCTGATTGCTCTACCCCTCTCTGTGTTCTTTTTTTCCTTCACAGACCTGTCTTTGCCTACTTTGGTGCTTTTCACTACATGTTCTGCTTTCTTTTAGCAAGAAAAATAAAAGCCAAATTTTAAAAGCTGACTAAAAATTTAACATTAATACAGACCTTAGGGAACCACTGAGAACTGGAACTTAACAGTGGGATGGAGTCTACCCAGGGATATATGTGGCAGGGCCAACATGTACCATTCCTCCTGACATTCATTCTTTGTTCCTTGTCTTGAATCCAATTTAAACTTTTTGGATATGAGTTGTGAACATCATCTAATATAATTGGGACACTTTTTTAAAAATATATTTTTAGTTGTAGATGGACACAATACGTTTATTTTATTTATTTATTTTTATGTGGTGCTGAGTATTCAAACTCAGGGCCTCACATGTGCTAGGCAAGCGCTCTACCACTGAGCCACAACACCAGCCCAATTGGGACACTTTTAAAAAATTAAACACACACTTCTAAACAAAGATAAACTACTAAAAATTTTCAGTGTGATAGTCCTGAGCCATCTAAGGACGTTTTTAATAACGTGTTTTATTCTTGGAATTTACTATATTTTTCAGTACTTTAATTTCAATGTGAATGTTTAGAGGAGTATTGTGTAATTAAATTTCTTTTAAATTTTCCTTGAAGGTTATGGATTAAAAAGTCATGTCAGAACTCATACAGGAGAAAAGCCATATCGGTGTTCAGAAGATAATTGTACCAAATCTTTCAAAACATCAGGAGATCTACAGAAACATATTAGAACTCATACAGGTACCATTGTAAATAGTGTCATATCTAGGACAAGAATTCTTGATCTTCAGGGAGGGGATTTGGGGAAGGAGTATCTGGAAAATTTTCAGGGAATCAGTATCAGGGGCTTCTTTTAAATTCCTGAAATTCCATGGAATTTGCTGTTTGTGTTTATATGTTTCTTACCAGGATAAGGGCTCAAGACTCTCTTAGATTCTTAAAAGGGTCTGTGTTCCAAAAGAGATGAACAATGGCTCTAGAGTACCATCCCTTGCAGCTTGCAGAAATTATCTGAGCAACAAGCTCATTTTCCTAGGATTGCATGTCTAGTTAGTAGCCTGAGAACAAAACCTAAGGCACCTGATTCTGCCTGAGTGTAGTATCGCTTCTCCTCAGTAAGCTGCTGCTAAAGAAAATATCTGAACCCCTAATAGCCCCACAGAAAGAAAAAACATGTAGCCACTTGCAGCAGTGTATGCCTGTAATCCCAAGGACTTGGAGACTGAAGCAAGAGGATCACAAGTTCAACTCAGGGAGGCTGTCTTCAAAATAAAAAATAAAAAGGGCTGGGGATATATCTCAGAGATAGGGTGCTCCTGGGTTCAATCCCTAATACCCCTCTCCCCACCCCCTCCCCAAAAAAAGACTTGTTACTTGTGATCATCTCTTCTTTAAATGTCTTTATCTTCTTTTTCTTTTTTAAACTGCTTGTTTCCTTTTTTTTTTTTTTAGAGAGAGAGAGAGAGAATTTTTTAATATTTATTTTTTTTAGTTTTCGGTGGACACAACATCTTTATTTTATTTTTATGTGGTGCTAAGGATTGAACCCAGCACCCTGTGCATGCCAGGCGAGCGCGTTACCGCTTGAGCCACATACTCAGCCCTCTTACCTTCTTTTTCTAAGTGGTACTTTATTCTTATCTCCCCTCACTCCCCTCTCTACCCTATGCTTGACTGCTTGTGGAATTGATACTATAAGGGTGATTATTTGTTTTTAGTTTTTTTGTTTTGGTATCAGGGATTGAACCCAAGGGCTCTTAACCACCAATCACATCCCCACCCCTTAGCTCTCACTAAGTTGCTTAGGGCCTCACTAAGTTGCTGAGGCTGACTTTGAACCTAAGCTTCTCTTGTCTCTGCATCCCTAGCCACTGGAGCTGGGATTCTAGGTGTGTGCCACTACGCCTGGCTTAAGGATTTGTTTTGGATCAGAGCTGAACAAAATTCAGAAACTGTTGATAAAAGATGCTATTTTAAGCTATTGACTAAGTAATAAAGCATAAAATAATTTAGAGATTTTTAATATAGGTGTTTTAAACATGGTGTTATAACTTTGTCCCCGAATGTTGCAATTTTTGTACTTCCAAATACTCTGATATAGTTTAACAAATTTCCAGGGAGGATTCTTCTAGCAACTAAGGTTAATCTTTAGTACAAACATGATCCTAAATTTGCTTTACTTTGTAATGCTTAGGAATGGTTGTAGGTATCTGCTTCCTTTTCTTCCTGCACTTATTTTTATTCATTGTATCAAAGGCAAGTGTTTCCAAGATGCTATAAATTTTGTTTGGATTTGCAATATAAAGCCAATTTGTTGTATAAAAGCTATATACAACCATTGACATTGAGCAAAAACGTCAGGATTATGATTTGATTTTTTTTTTTTTTTTTTTTTTTGGTACCAGGGATTGAACCCAGGGGCATTTAACCATTTAGCCACATTCCTAGGCCTTTTTTTTTTTTTTTTTTAACTTTTGAGATAGGGCCTCACTTAGTTGCTGAGGCTGACTTTGAACTTGGGATCCTTCTGTGTCAGCCTCCCAAGATTATGAGATTATAGGCGAGCATCACTGTGCCTGTCAGAATTGTGATTCTTTAATTCATCCATCAAAACATACAGTTTTGGTCTTTTTTTTTTTTTAAGAGAGAGAGAGAGAGAGAATTTTTAAATATTTATTTATTTTTTAATTTTCGGTGGACACAACATCTTTATTTTATTTTTATATGGTGCTGAGGATCGAACCCAGCGCCCCGTGCATGCCAGGCGAGCGTGCTACCGCTTGAGCCACATCCCCAGCCCCTTACACTGGTCTTTATGTTTTGTTATTTCTTTATTTTTGGTGGTGCCAAAAGTTAAACCCAAGGCCTTTTGCATGCTAGACAAGCTCTACCATTGAGCAATACTACCAGCCCCCATACACCACTTTTATCATGACATTTTCATGATTTAAAATGTTATAATGGCATAACATTTTAACATGGTACAATGTTGGGTTGAATAAGGGGCTTAGGAACTTAGGTGATTTCAGTCAAAAACAAATTAGGTGCTACAGAATAGTAATACATATAGTACAACGAAAATTGTCCTAGAACAGTTTATGCTTTTCATAGCATGTCACAGGTGGGAAGACTTTAGAGGTCTTCTAGACTTGGAGGAGATGGGACTTGCCCAATATGAATTCTGTTCTCTTTTGGTGAACATATCGTGAAAAATTCACTTGAAGAAAAGAGAAAGATTCTGTTCCTTTTTTAATGATTTCAAACTTGAGGGCAGAAATCTTTTGGAATGGTCTGTACCAACAGGGAAACCATAATTTTATTTGACCCAAAGAAAAATAACAGACTTTCTTTCTCTCTCTCTCTCTCTCTCTCTTATATATATGAAATACTTGTGTCTGTCTATAAAGATACTTTTTTTTTCCTGCTCCAGAAGTTGTTTGCTTGAGTTCATTATAGAAAAGGGCACATAAAAATTGAAAGCAAAAGCCATCTCCTGCTTGACTGTTCAAAGGACTTTTGAGTTTCAAGGTTGTATAAAGCAAATAGGAAAGAAGGAATATAATTGGCAGAGTTTTCAGTCATAAGTTTGGACTATGAGAATAGTAATGTATTTAGCAAGTATTTTGACAAACATACTAAGCACTAGATTTTAAAAGATTAAAATTATTTTTTCTGCCAGATATCGTAGCATAAATAAAGCAGGAAACAAACTTTTAAGTGATTCTGGGGTTGTTCTAACTTAATCCTTATTCTTGACCCTATTTTTTTCTTATATATTTTTTTCTGCCATTTCTTTCTGTGCTTTTCTCAGCTCAATTTTTAATATGCACACCTGAATGATTCCATCTTGGGGAGACATGTAATCACTGATGAGTTTTGAATACCATTCAGTTTTTCTAAGGCAAATTTGTTAGGAGTGGAAAATACTTTTTCCAGGGGAAAAAGAAAAAGCCTAAAAGGGAAACTTAATAGAAGACTCAAGTCTTGAGCCTGCTCCTAGGCAAAATTGAAGATAAGACCTTTCAATTTTCTATATATTTTTGCACCATTTAATTTATTCCCCTTTGTATTTTCAGGAGAAAGGCCCTTTAAGTGTCCCTTCGAAGGCTGCGGTCGGTCCTTTACAACATCAAATATCAGAAAAGTGCATATTAGGACACATACAGGAGAAAGACCTTATTATTGCACAGAACCAGGATGTGGGAGGGCATTTGCCAGCGCAACCAATTATAAAAATCATGTGAGGATACACACAGGTAATGATCTCTGATCTCTTGGTCCTTTATCTTTGAAGGCTTAGTTTAATTCTTCCCCCTTCCAGAAACAATACCTAGCTAATCTCTTCTTTTCTTCCTACCAGTTGGCATGGAGGAAAGAAGTTAAACACCTTTAAAATTTTTCAACTTAATCATTCTTTTGTATGTTCGTTTCTTCAACAATTATTGACATCTATCATGAGTTTTTCTACCAGACACCATAGACGAGACAGATAAGACATTATCAAATACAGTCTAGTTGGGGAGAGATTAGTGGTCATAAACTTGCTGAAGAATGTCTGTAATATGAACAAGATGCTTGGGAGCAGAGGCAGGAACAGTCATTTCTTGCAGGAACGGAAGAAATGTTTCAGAAAGACTTTACTGGGGAATTTGACTTTTAGACTGAATCCTGATGTAAAAGGTAAACAGAAGATTATTCTTTGCAGGGGAAGTGTAATGAAGATAGGCACAAAGGTATGAAAAAACATAATATTGGGTGGTTCCATATAATTAGAGCATAGATTACATGTAGAAGATTTGTACGCAGTGAAGTCGGAGGAGTAATCAGGGGATTTTTGTATTATGCTGTCATGGTAAGGTGTTTCTTAAATTAAACTTTGTGGAGCTTGTGGGGTAGAAAAGGAGGAATGATCTATGGATACATTTTCCGCTTTTTTGGCAATACTGGGGATTGAAACCAGGGTTGGTGCTCTACATCCCCAGCCGCGCCCCCCCCCCCCCCCCCTTTTTTTTTTTAATAAGACAAGGGTCTTACCAGGTTGCCGAGGCTGTCCTTGAATTTGTGATTCTACTGCCTCAGCCTCTCAGGTCACTGGGATTATAGGTGTACACCACCATGCTTGGCTTCTCATTTTTTAATAAACAGCTATATTAAGATAAAATTCACATACTAGACATTTATCCATTTATTTTTATTTTTAAAGAGAGAGAGGGATAGAGAGAGAATTTTTTTTAATATTTATTTTTTAGTTTTCGGTGGACACAATATCTTTATTTTATTTGTATGTGATGCTGAGGATCGAACCCAGCGCCCCGCGCATGGCAGGTGAGTGCGTTACCTCTTGAGCCACATCCCCAGCCCCATTTATCCATTTAAAGCATAATGATTCTCCAGACGTGGTAGTGCATGCTTGTAACCCCAGCCACTCAGGAGGCTGAAGCAGGAGGATTGCAAATTCAAGGCCAGCCTCAGGAATTTAACAAAGTCCTAAGCAACTTAGCAAGATCCTGTCTCAAAATAAAACATTAAAAAAGGCTGGGGCCAGATGCAGTAGCGCACACCTGTAATCCCAGCGCTTGGGAAGCTGAGGCAGGAGGATGGTGGGTTCCAAGCCAGCCTCAGCAACATCGAGGTGCTAAGCAATTCAGTGAGACTCTGCCTCGAAATAAAATACAAAATAGGGCTGGGGATGTGGCTCAGTGGTTGAGTGCCCCTGAGTTCAATCCCTGGTACCCGAAAAAAAAGGACTGGGAATGTAGCTTGGTGATAAAGCATCCCTTGGATTTAATCCCCAATACAAAAAAAAAAAAAAAAAAAAAAAAACGGGGGTGGAATTATTGGGTCACTTTTCAAAAGTCTTTTAACTTTTTTTTTTTTGTCCTCAATGAGTTTTTCCCTTCTTTTTTTTTTTTTTAGTTTTCGGCAGACATAGCATCTTTGTTTGTATGTGGTGCTGAGGATCGAACCTGAGCCACACGCATGCCAGGCGAGCGCGCTACCGCTTGAGCCACATCCCCAGCCCCATCTTTTAACTTTTTAAAAAAAATTTTTTCTAGTTGTAGATGGACACAATATCTTTATTTCATTTTATTTATTTATTTATTTTTATGTGGTGCTGAGGATCAAACCCAGGGCCTCACATGGGAGAGGCAGCACTTTACCACTGAGCTACAACCCCAGCCCTATTTTTTAACTTTTGAGGAACTGCCAAACTGTTTTCGAAGTAGCTGTGCCATTTTACAGTCTCACCTGCAATGTATGATGCTTCCATTTGATCCACACCATAGGCAGATAATTGTTATTTTTTTTTATTATAACTTTCCTAGTAGTGTGATATCTTTTGATTTGCATTTTCCTGATGGCTAATGATGTTAAGTATCTTTTTATGTGCTTATTGGCCTTTCATATATCTTCTTTGGAGAAATATCTTTTCAAATCCTTTGCCCTTTTTTAACTGGGTTGTTTTTTCACTATTGGGTTGTAAGAATTATTTATTATTCTGGATACAAGTCCTTTGTCAGACAGATTTGCAGTATTTTCCCCTCTATGGGTTGTCTTTTCAATTTTTTCATAAAATGCAGTCTATCATGAAGTTTGATTATCAGATGACCCATGTGAAGCCATGTAGCCAGCCAAAAGGAACTCTAAAGCTCAAGCAAAAAAAAAAAAAAAAAAAAAAATTTTTTTGATGGGGGTGTACTAGGAATTGACCCCAGAGGTGCTTTACCACTGAGCTACATCCCCAGTCCCTCGTTCTTTTTATTTATTTATTTATTTATTTATTTATTTTGAATAGCATCTCACTAAATTGTTGAGGTTGACCTTGAATTTTCCATCCTCTAACATCAGCTTCTGGAGTTGCTGGGATTGAAAGCATGTGCCATTGTATTCTGCTCCATTCAGTTTTTGACTGTGGTTTGGTGCCACCTAGTGGGGATTTCTGTTCTCAGTTGAAAATTGGCTGATTTTCCAAGTTGAAATTTGCTGCCACTTTCCTGCTTAGGAAATCTACTCCCACTTCCCTTTCCCTCACTATATTTTCCTTACAACCATCCACCAAGATAAGAACTTAATCCTGCCTGCTTTGAGAATGGATATTGGGAGGAAGAGGACAGGAAGCCATCTCCAATTACTTTTATGTCTAAAACTTAAATTATATTAGTGAGGGATTTCTTTATGGGTAGTTTTACTGTGGTTAGAGCCATGAGAAGAAATGCACCAAGGAAGATCTAAAATAAGAATTAGCTGGAACATGGATCTCTACACTTACACATTCTATATCAGAAATGAAGAGTTCACACTAATACTTCCAATTCTAGTTCATCCCACAAGGCTCTTCCTCCCCATTCCATATTTGTACGTCTCTTCCACACTGAGAACCCTGGCTTCTACAGCACTGAATATTTATTCATTTGCTCAGTCTTTAGTTACATCTAAAATAATTTTAGTATCACTTCAGTCATACCACCACAATGCATAAGCCTATTGAAGAGTTCAAGGTTTGTTTGCAACTGCTGCCTCATCCCTAGCTCAAGACTGAGGACATTAGTTAAAATGCCATATATAAAATATTAGTTAAATACTCTATATAAAAGTTACTTGACGGGGGGGCTGGGGTTGTGGCTCAATTGTAGAGTGCTTGCCTCACATGTGTGAAGCACTGGGTTCAATCCTCAGCACCACATAAAAATAAATAAGTAAAATAAAGATATTGTGTCCATCTACACAGCTAAAAATACTAAAAAAAAAAAAAGTTACATGAGGGGTGAGAGTGTGGCTCAGTGGCAGAATGCTTGCCTAGCATGTGTGAGGTGCCGCATAACAAATAAAGGCATTCTGTTCATCTACAACTACAAAAAAAAAATTACTTGAAATAATTTATTTTCCTCATGCCCCAGTGTGGATAAAAGTATTCACTTAAACTATAATTAGGATAACTTGTTCCATTTGCTTTCAGTTTTAGGTCCCCATACCACCACAAAATAGCATTGCCTAGATATTCTGTGATATTAAGTAATTATTGTTAATTTTGTTTATGTTGTTTAAAAATAACAGGATCCATCTTTCATATACATAATCTCACACATTTCGGATAATATAGAATGTTTTCTGGAACTGTTTTAGAATAATCCTCGGTAGGAAGAAGGGATAAGTATGTAATAAATAAATGAAACAATATTGGTTATGAATTAATAGTTGAAGCTGAGTGATTGGTACATGGAGTTTTGTTATACTGTTTCTCTATATTTTTGTGTAAGTTTTAAATTTTCCATAATAAAAAGTTCAAAAAATATTATATACTACCTATAGTATTCTCAGATTATTTCATAGAACAGGAATTAATAGTTTTTTCTTCCATTTGTCTTGCCTACTTGCTATTGGTGAGGAAAGAATAGCTTTTGATTGGATATAAGAGGTCAAGTGAAGTTAAATTGTAAATGTTCTTTTAGATATATTTAGATATATAGTTGAATATTGACATGTCTAACTTGTCTGTAGACTTTTAAAAAAAATCCTTTTTCATTATCTTTATAAAACTTTTTGGGTAAGCTGCATTAGTTATAGTAATACTTGCATTTGTTATTCTTATTATTAGTATATCTATCTAGTTACAGGAAACAATAAATTATAGTTTCATCAAAGTTAAACTGGGTAATAACATCATCCTTAATTCTCTCATCTCTTGAAATTAAGGGAACATTGGGATTGATGCTTAAGGACAATATTCAGAATGTAGACTACCTTTTGAGCCAAGTTAAAATTATAGTTACGGTTTTTCCCTCATGGTAGGATATGAAGAGATTTGACAAGCTTTATGTGTATATGTTGCTGTGTTGGGTAAGCGCTTCATTACTGATCTATGTCCACAGCCCAGATTTGGCAACTGTTTAATTTTAGAGGTCCTCCACCCCATAATGGAATAATTATGTCTACCTATGTAAAAGCTGACCTTTTTTTTTTTTTTTTTAAGCTGACATTTTGTGTGCTGGTTTTTCTTAGGGGAAAAGCCATATGTTTGTACAGTTCCTGGGTGTGACAAAAGGTTTACAGAATATTCTAGTTTGTACAAACACCACGTCGTTCACACTCACTCCAAACCATACAACTGTAATCACTGTGGTAAGACATACAAGCAGATCTCCACGCTGGCTATGCACAAACGGACAGCCCACAATGACACTGAGCCCATTGAGGAGGAGCAAGAAGCCTTCTTTGAGCCTCCCCCAGGTAAGGTTTTTATCCATTATAGCTGTTTCTGAGTTTGAGAATCAAACAACTATGAATATAATTTATGATTCATAACATTTTCTCAAATTAGAAAGTTTCTTTTCTGTAATCACACAAATTTACAATTTATAACTGTGAAAAGTACTATTGAAGAAAGGTATTAGAGCTCTGGGTTGTGTTAAGAGAGGAACTTGGTCTTATCTAGGAAAGTGTAAGTTTCTCTGAGGAAATGGTGTTTGGAGAAAATCTAGAGGGTGAATCTTCAAGTAGGCTAACTAGGTGAAGAAACGGGTTGGGGGAAGGGAAACAGCAAAGATGAGAACTTTCAAGTAGAAGGTATGATACTACAAAAAGCAGGAGGTTAGAGAGAGCAAAGTAAATTAGAGATACTGAAAGAAGCCTGATCAGGATGGTGGTTCTGCCTGGGAAGGTGGTGTGAAGTGAGGGTAGAGAATGAGGTAGGGGCAGCCTAGTCATAAGATTAGAGAAGTACTCCAAATAATACTTCATTGATTCAGGTGCTGTTAGGTATATAGTAAGAAACAAAACAACTCATTTCAATGAGGAAAAACCTTTGAAAAAATATTTTATAGAATTATATGCACGGTGGCACTCGCCTGTAATCCCAGTGGCTCGGGAGGTAGAGGCAGGAAGATTGCAAGTTCAAAGCCTGCTTAGCAAGGTACTTAGAAAGGTACTTAGCAACTCAGGGAGACCCTGTTTCTAAGTAAAATACAAAAAAGGGCAGGGGATGTTGCCCAGTAGTTAAGTGCCCTTGAATTCAATCCCCAGTACACACACAAAAAAATGTAGTTATAAGACTCTTACACTTTTTAAGCCCTTTATCTTTTTCTTTTCTTTTCTCTCTTTTTTTTGGGATTAAACCTAGGGGTGCTCTTCCACTGACTATACCCCATTCCTTTTTCTTTTTTTGAGATAGGGTCAAGACAAATTGCCAAATCTGTCCTCAAACTTGAAATTCTGTCTCAGATTCCTGAATCCCTGGGCTTATATGCATGTATCACCATGCTCTGTCTTTTGATTATCTTTTTTTCTTTCTTTTTTAAAAATATTTTTTAGTTGTACATGGACACAGTGTCTTTGTTTATTGACTTTTATGTGGTGCTGAGGATTGAAACCAGTGCCTCACACAAGGGAGGCAAGTGCTTTACCACTGAGCCACACCCCAGCCACCTTGATCTTTTCTTATATGTTGATATTTCATATTATTAAAAATTTCTGTTTTTTTTTTTCCCCAGTACTGAGAATTAAATCTAGGAGGTACACACTATCACTGAGCTACATCTCCTGCCCTTTTTAAAATTTTGAGACAGGACCTCCCTAAATTGCAGAGGCTGGCCTTGAACTTGTGATAACTTAGGTTAAAAAAAAAAAAACCCTAAAATCTGGTGGGGCACAATGGCTAATCTCAGTAGCTCTGGAGGCTGAGGCAGAAGGATTGCAAGTTTAAGGCTAGCCTCAGCAACTAAGTGAGGCCCTAAGCAATTTAGGAGACCCTGTCTTAAAATAAAAAATAAAAAGGGTGGGGATGTTGCTCAGTGGTAAAGCACCCCTGGGCTCAATCTTCAGTACAAAAAGAAAGAAGGGAAGGAAAGGGAGAAGGAGGAAGGAGAAAGGAAAAGAAAGAAAGGAGAGGAGAAAGACACAAGGAAGGGGAGAACGCTTTTCTAAGAATAGGTATAGATTTGTTTTCCTTTCACATGGTTCCCTGGGTTTTGTAACCAGTTGGAATAATAGTATATATAAGTATCTGTGGAACAGAAGAAAAAAGAGTGAAGTCATTACTGTCATGGAAATGGCACCTTGATGACTGTAGTCATGTGCATGCATCAAGTACTGACTTTCAGAAGACTTATAGATTACTTCTTTGTAGGGGAAAATTTTTTGCTCTCTTTCTCTTACTTCATGTGAAGTGGAAAATGTTGGAAGAATAGAGATCAGTAATCTCCCTAGTTGACAAGTATAGCAGTAATGACTTAAAATTGCTGTTTACTTGCTAGTGGTTTGCAAAATAAAGAAGTAAGGAGGTTGCTTTTGTTTAACTTCTTAAATGATTAACTTCACCCCAGATAATGTGCCATTACATTGTCTTTACACAATGATGTCATTGTTTATTGATAACCTGTAATCAGTCACTTGTGTTAAAGGCTAAATTAGTAGACAGAGTTTGCAAAGTTTAGTAGTTTTGTGGTTTATGTTTATGAAGATTCTTTTATTACTTTTATGGTTTATTTTGTTTTGTGCTTTTTAGTTATACATGACAGTAGAATGTATTTTGACATACAGACATGGAATATAACTTCCCATTCTTGTGGTTGTACCTGATGTGGAGTTACACTGGTCGTGTATATATATATACACACACACACATACATATGTATATATTTTATTGTAGATGGACACAATGCCTTATTTTATTTATTTATTTTTATGTGGTACTGAGGATTGAACCAGTGCCTCACATGTGCTAGGCAAGTGCTCTACCACTGAGTTACAACCCCAGCCCCTGGTCATGTATTCATGTATGAACATAGTTATATCCAATTCATTCTACTGTCTTTCTTATTCTCACCCTGCCCCCACCCCCAACTTGTATGGCTTCTTAAGTGACTCCAAGAACTTAGTGCATCCTTGTTGTATTGAAGGATTTTTTTCTAGTCTTTCTATAGAGTTTCTCCCTTCCCTTTTCCAACACATATGCACAATATCACATAATTATTCCAACTAAGATTTAAAAAGTGTGGGGCTGGGGTTGTGGCTCAGCAGTAGAGCGCTCGTCTCACACGCGAGGGACCCTGGGTTTGATCCTCAGCACCACATAAAAAATAAATGAGTGAAATAAAGGTATTGTGTCCAACTATAAAATAAATATTTTAAAAAAAAGATTTAAAAAGTGGTCCCCCAAAATTAAAACACTTAAATTTGATGGGAAAGGTTTGATGTGGTTTGATATGATTTGGTTTAGCTTTCAAAACGTAGAAGTGAAGGAAGTAGAAGGAGGTACTAGAAGTTTTTTTCATGATTTAGAATATACTATAAATAAATTTTATATAATATTCTCTTTAATATTAAAATATTCTCAGTTTTCTAGACAGATTGATTAATTGGTCATAGAGGTTGTTGTTGTTTTTTTTTTTAAACAGGTCAAGGCGAAGATGTTCTTAAGGGGTCCCAGATCACATATGTTACAGGTGTAGAAGGAGATGATGTTGTATCCACACAAGTAGCCACAGTAACCCAGTCCGGGTTGAGTCAACAAGTTACACTTATATCCCAGGATGGGACCCAGCATGTAAGTGTCTACCAAAAGCTAGTCAAGTTAAATCATATTTCTCTTCAACCGTTTTTGAAAACACAGTCCAGGTCCTCATTGAAGAATTTCCTTGGAATATTCCTTGGAATATCAAGGAATAAAGGTTGGATTTCAGCCTGTAGGCAGGCAGTAACATATCTCCTAAAAGTTCTCCATAGGCTACTAAAAGAGATTACATGAAGTGAGTTTAGTAGGGAGAGAATGTTTACGTCTCTGTAAAATTCATATAGAGTGTTACTGGTATCACTCAAAGGTGAGGGGTAATGAAGGTCAGAACCACAGGGAAACTGAGGGCTTCAAAAGTATCCATGTGAAACATAGATCTGAGAAGGGATGGGTTTGGTGGCTAATTAGGTCCAAGAAATGAGGTTTGAGAAAACAGCAGAGCTTTGGCTGACGTGATCAGGATATGATGGACTCAATAAAAGATCCTGGGAAATAAGTGACAGGCAAACCTATGAAATTTCCAAACTGTGGCACTCTTCCTTTCCAGGAATCATGGAAGTTTACTCAACTAACTCCACAGAGTTAATAAAGCAAATATCTTGATTTCCTCCAGAAAATGCACAGTTTAATGGCTGTTCTCTAAAAGCTAAACTTGTTGTTTTCTAGATTCTGCTAGCTTAAAATAACTTAACTTTGATTTTATTTTTGAGTTCTAACTAAGGTTTTCTTAGTACCTTTAAAATTAGGAATGTTGGGGTATAATGTGCTTTTTTATCTGTCTCTTCCAAGGATGAATCTCTCCTTACTCACCTCTCTTGGACTTTTACCTTCCATAATTAATCTGCCTTTTTAACAAATTGATAACTATTAACATGCCTATATTAGTTAGGTGGCAGAACCCATTCAGGATCAAATAATACAAAGCATTCATACCATCACATGCTTGCACCCCCAGCCCCCACTTTGACATTGTGAATTCTGCACAGTACTCTGCCCACTGACTGGCATGCAAGAAAGATTAAACATATTTACTTAACCTAATTTTAATTCATTAGCTCTAAAACTTTGTCTTGAATCAGATCATCACAAACAGAGGACCTCTGGAAGTCATTTAATCTACCCTTCCTTCCTATGTAGGAGAAATCCCTTCTATAGCAACTTTGAAATATCCTTTACTGAGCTAATACATAGTGATTGATTAACTTCTCTGTTAAGAGGCAGCCAGGAGAACTCTACTATTTATTGGGAACCCACCTCTGTATTGTTAATTCATGGTTCTTTTTTAACCATACGGAATAAATCTAATCCCTCTTCTTCTTCTTCTTCTTTTTTTTTTTTAGAGAGAGAGAGAGAGAGAGAGAGAGAGAATTTTAATATTTTAGTTTTCAGCAGACACAACATCTTTGTTTGTATGTGGTGCTGAGGATCAAACCCGGGCCACACGCATGCCAGGCTAGCGCGCTACCGCTTGAGTCACATCCCCAGCCCTAATGCCTCTTCTTATACTCCAAAACAACTGTCTTCCCCATCCTAATGAGTGTTGTATTTCTTCTAGATTCAACCTTCCCATTTCCTTCAGTAATTAGATTTCCATTCCATTCCTTCAACAGATATTTATTGACCATCTATCCCATGCCAGACATTTTGGTAGTCAATACTGGGTGTACAGGAAAGGGAATATCACAGTCTAGGAGAAAGCCATTTCTAAAATGAACAGTTTCTCATAATGAGGGATATATAATTGATGGGCATATAAAGTGGTGTGGAAGCCTGAAGTAGAAAGTAATGAATCTTGGAGATTCTTATGGATTTGGTCATTCAGTTGGTTCCTGAAGAATTTTCATGAGCTTGCCATGCTAAGAATGAAGGGAAGGGAAAAGCCATGAATGTGACTTTGTCTAGGACTGGGAATCAGTTGTGGCTAGAGAGTCAGATGCAAATTAGGAAGTAGTAGTTGGTAAAGGCTAGATCATGAAAGGTTAAGGATGCCACAGAGGAAGTCTGAACATTGAAGGATAGGAAGTAACTGGGAATTTTAGCAAGTAGAATAATAAGACTTGATTTGCTTTGTTTTAGAAAGGTGTTAAGGTGGAGGATGGTTAGGGAACAGTTATGCTGGACACTTGGAAAGGAATTGGATTACTACAGAAATTCAGATGAGAGAAAAATAAGGGTCTCAGCTAGCAACAGGGATGGAGAGAAGAGGAAGAGATCATTTAAGAAATACTGCTGGAGGTGGGGATATAGCTCAGTTGGTAGAGTGCTTGTCTTGCATGTACAAGGCCCTAGGTTCAATCCCCAGTACCACAAAAAAAAAAAAAAAAAAAAGACAGACAGACTGCCGGGCACAGTAGTGCATGCCTGTAATCCCAGTGACTCAGGAAGCTAAAACAGGAGGATTGCAAGTTTGAGACCAGCCCCAATAACTTAGTGAGGTCCTAGCAACTTAGCGAGACCCTGTCTCAAAATAAAAAATAAAATGGGCTGGGGATGTAACTCAGTGGTAAAGTGCCTCTGTGCCTCTAGTGCCAAAAAAAAAAAAAAAAAAAAAGGAAGAAAAGAGAAGAAGACTGATTTGTCTGATGACTAGAATAATTTATTTAATTGTGAAAGGTTTATTTGCTCCCACAGAGTAAACCTATATAAGGGTCAGGCCCTATAACCAAGATCGCCAAATATAACATGAAGCATTGATTTGTAAAAGGCACTGTATTACAGGTCAACATATCTCAGGCTGACATGCAGGCCATTGGCAACACCATCACAATGGTAACGCAGGATGGCACACCCATCACAGTCCCTGCTCATGACGCAGTCATCTCTTCAGCAGGAACACACTCTGTTGCTATGGTCACCGCCGAGGGTACAGAAGGGCAGCAGGTAATTACCTTTGTCTGTTATATCAGTCAATACATATATCCATTTCAAAACTGTTGCACATATGAAAAAAAAATCTGTTATACAACTTTATATATATGACAGTGGTTAGGCATAAAAACTTCAAATTGAATTCAGTTTTGGAATTTCTTAGCTAATTAACCCTCAGAGTCTGTTTTTTTGTTCATCTTTAATTAAGAGTGATAGTTCTATCTGCTCCATAAGATCAATATAAGGATTAAATGAGATAATGCATGTAAAGTACTCAGCCCAGCTGTATATTAAGTATTCCTTACTGGTAGCTCTTATCACCATCATCATCATCATATACTCAAGAAATTAATTCATTTGCAAAATTTACTTATTTTTACTTTATTAAATTTTCTAGGTATTAATATACTCACATAATTTAAAAAAAAAATAGGGACATGGTAGAGCCAGTAGTAGAGCCCTTGCCTAGTATGAATGAGGCCCTGGGTTCCACCTCCAGCACTACACACACACACATACAAAAAAAAAAAAAAAAAAGGACAAAAATATATATATAGGTGTACAGTGAAAAGTGTCCTCCCATCCCTGCCTCTTATCTACTCAGTTTTTGCCCCTATAGATAATTCACTTTTATTAACCTTTGATGTGTTATTCCAGTAATTCTTTAAGCATATACAAATAAATAGTTGTCTTCCCTTCTTTCTTTTTTTAATGGCAGTAAATGATACTTTTCTGCATCTTGTTTTTTAAACTTAACACTAAGGCAGGAGGATTGCAAGTTCACGGCCAGCTTGGGAAATTCAGTGAGACCCTGTCTCAAAATTAAAAATAATTTGTCTCTAAATCAAGGCTAGCAGTTTGTTGAAACCGTTCCAAGCAAGAGCCTAAACAAATGTCTTTCTGTTGTCTGTTGGCCATTTCAGAAATTTGGAAATGTAATGATCAATTCATTAGAAAGAAACATCTGAGTCATTGGAAGTAGATGTGGGCTAAGACTTATTTGTGGTCTTAATACTGGGATTCCAAAATATCAATACAATATTTATCTCTATTTTCCTGATTTAATTGTTCATTAGAAGTATAATGCTCTTAAATCTATTAAAATAAATAAGTAAATGCAAATAAAAAGGATTGGGGCTGTAGCTTAGTGGTAGAGTGTAATCCCTAGTTCCACAAAAAAATAAACTCATATTTTTTTCCTGTTTTTATTATAACTATTAACACATTTTAATTCTACAAATCAATGAGTTTTAGTGTGTCATTTCCATACATGCATATATCATGCTTTTATTGTATCTACCTTCCCTACTATTCTCATCTTCTCTCTCCCTCTTCCCCCTTCTCTTCCTTAATCCCTCTTCTATTTACAGATTATTTATTTTTTCTTTTTAGTCTTCATATATGAGAGAAGACATGTAATAATACTTGTCCTTTTCTGTCTTGCTTATTTCACTCAACATGATGGTCTCCATTTCTATCCATTTTGCTACAAATGACAGGATTTCATTCTTTTCTATGAGACTTTATTTTAAATACTCCATTGTGTATATATACATATTATTTTATCCATTCATCTATTGATTGGCACATAGGTTGATTCCATGTCTTGGCTATAATAAATGGATATGCAGGGATCTCTCTTTTTTTTTTTTTCAGAATTTTTAAAGATGTTGATGGGCCTTTATTTTTTCATTTTTTGTTTATTTGTGTTTCTAGAGAGAAAAAAATTTTTTTTAAGAGAGAGAGAATTTTTTTTAATATTTTTCAGTTTTTGGTGGACACAACATCTTTATTTTTTATTTTATGTGGTCCTGAGGATCAAACCCAGTGCCCCGCGCATGCCAGGTGAGCATGTTACCACTTGAGCCACATCCCCAGCCCAAGAGAGAGAATTTTTTAATATTTATTTTTTAGTTTTCGGTGGACACAACATCTTTATTTATTTTTTTATGTGGTGCTGAGGATTGAACCCAGCGCCCCGCACATGCCAGGCAAGCGCACTACCACTTGAGCCACATCCCCAGCCCCAATAAATATTCATTTATTTATATGTGGTTCTGAGACTCGAACCCAGTGCCTCACACATGCTAGGCAAGTGCTCTACCACTGAGCCACAACCCCAGTCCTGCAGGGGGATCTCTTTTGTATGCTGACTTCATTTCCTTCAGGTATATCCCCAAGAGTGGTATAGCTGAATAGTTTTCTGAGGAACTTCCATAGTGTTTTCAATAGTGGCTGTACTAATTTACATTCCCACCAACAGAAATGTATAAAGGTTCCTTTTTCTTCACATCCTCACCAGCATTAGTTTGTTTTGTTTTGTTTGGGGGTACTGGGGATTGAACCCAGGGAGCTCTACCATTGAGTCATATCCTCAGCCCTTTTTATTTTTTATTTTCAGATAGGGTCTTGCTCAGTTTCCCATGCTAGCTTCAAACTCAGGATCCTCCTGCCTCAGCCTCCTGAGTTGCTGTGATTACAGGCATGCATCATCATGCTGGCTTCGGCATACTTCCATTTACATTTCTCTGATGGCTAAAGATATTGAGCATTTTTTCACATTTATTAGCCATTTGTGTATCTTCTTTTGAGAACTGTCTATTCGGGTCATTTGTCCATTTATTGATTGGATTATTCTTTCATTATTAAATTTTTGAGGTTTTTTTTAATATATTCTGGATATTAATCCTCAATTACATGAATACTAGCAAAGATGTTCTCCTATTCTGTAGGTTGTCTCTTTACTCTATTGACTGTTTCCTCTCGTTTGCTGAAGCTTTTTAACTCAATGTAATTTGGTTTGTCAATTATTGCTTTTATTTCCTGGCCTGTTAGAGTCTTATTCAGTACTTCCTATGCCAGTATCTTGAAATGTTTCCCATATGTTTTTTTCCAATATCAGATTCAGGTGTTACATTAAGGCCTTTGATCCCTTTTCTTTTTCTTTTCTTTTCTTTTTTTTATTTTAGAGACAGGGTCTTGCTGAGTAGCTGAGTTGCTTTGGGTCTCACTAAGTTGCTGAGGTCTGCTTTGAACTCTCCATTCTCCTGCCTCAGCCTCCGGAGCTGCTGGGATTACAGATTGTGTGCCACTGTGCCCAGCCTTAAGTTCATTTTAGGGTGAGAGATAGAGATCTAGTTTCAGTCTTCTACATGTGGATTTCCAGAGTTTTCCCAGCACCATTTGTTGAAGAGGCTTTTTTCTAACATGCTTTTGGTAATTTTTTTGAGAAGCAGATGGTTGTTGGATGTGTGGGTTTATTTCTGGCTCCTTTTTTGTATTTTGGTTTACATGTCTGTTTTCTGTTTGTTTTGTTTTATAGTAGAGCTTGAACCCAGGGGTGCTTTACCACAAAACTACATCCCTGACATTTTTTAGTTTTTATTTTGAAACAGGATCTTACTAACTTGCTTAGGGCCTCAGCCTCCAGAGTCACTGGTATTATAGGTGTGTGTCACTGCACCTGGTGGTACATATCTGTTTTTATGCCAAGACCATGCTGTTTTGGTTATTGTGACTCTAAAGTATATTTTGAAATAAGATATTATGATAACTCCAGCATTATCTTGTTTTGTGCTCAGGATTTCTTTGGCTCTTCAGGGTTTGTCCTTCCTTACAATTTTAGGATTGATTTTTTTTTAAATTTTCCTATGAAGAATGTAATTTAAAAAAAATATTTTTAGTTGTAGATGGATATACCTTTATTTTGTTTAACATTTTGTTTTTTTTAATGTGGTACTGGGGATTGAACTCCAGTGCCTCATGTATCAAGCACTCTCCCACTGAGCCATAACTCCAGCCCTGTCATTGATGTTTTGATGGGGATTGACTGAATCTGTAGTTACTTTTCAATAGTGTGACTTTTTTTTTAAGTTTTATTTGCATTTGTTTTACATGCTGAATTTATTCCAGTGCCATGAGTTTTTGTTTCTTCTGGGATCTTTTTCTTTTGTGCAGCCTTTTCTGGCTTAGGAACAATTTATTCCTTTTCAGTAAAGATCATCTCGATGTGGCAGGGGAGCTCGTGTATGAGTTAATCTGACCATGCACTTTGTAAGTGTAGCAGCCCATCTTGTTGCTTCATTCACCTGGATAAGTTCAATGAGTAGAGAATGTACATCTAGACCCTTAAGATATTTTAAGCATGTGCAGTAGAAACTCAGCACTCTTTTGGAGCAACTACCCATGTATTCAACCTCATTGTTTGGCCTGGGCATACTTACCAACTCTACAGTTGGCCTTTTTTTTTTTTTTTAATATTTTTTAGTTGTAGTTGGACCCAATACCTTTATTTTATTTATTTATTTTTATGTGGTGCTGAGGATTGAATCCAGGGCCTCACACATGGTAGGCGGGTGCTCTATTGCTAAGCCACAACCCCAGCCCAGTATGGCCATTTTAACAATATTAATTCTCCCAATCTGTGATCATGGGAAGTCTTTCCATCTTGTGGTGTCTTTCTTCAACTTCTTTTTCATTTTATAATTTCCATTGTAGAAGTTTTTCACTTCTTTGGTTAGGCTTATTCCTAGGTATTTTTATATTTTGGTGTGGAGGTGATATTGTGAATGGGATTGTTTACCTGATTTTTCCCCCCTCTGGTAATTCGTTATTGGTGTATAGAAAAATTACTCATTTTTGCTTTTTGTTTTTGGTACTGGGATTTAACTCAGGGAAACTTTATCACTAAGCCATGTCCCCAGCCCTTTTTAATTTTATTTGAGACAGGGTCTCACTAAATTGCCGAGAGCCTCATTAAGTTATTGAGGCCAGCCTCAAACTTGTGATCCTCCTGTCTTGATCTCCTGGGTTGCTGAGATAACAGGGATGTGCCACTGTATCTGGCCTGAGTTTTGTACATTGGTTTTGTATACTGATTCTTTGCTGAATTTTTGTATCAGTTCTAAGAGTCATTGGTGGAGTCCTTAGGATTTTCTAAGTATAGAATCCAATCATCTGCAAACAGGGATGATTTGACTTCCTCCTTTTCTGTTTGTATCCGCTTTTTTTCTTTCTTCCTTTCTCATCTGATTGCTTTGGCTGAAATATCAAATACTATATATATTGAATAAGAGTGGTGAAAGTGGACACACTTACTCTTTTTTTTGGGTACTAAGAGTTGAGCCCAGGGTTCTTTACCACTGAGCTACATCCCCATCCCTTTTTTATTTATATTATTCATTTTGAGACAGGGTCTCGCAAAGTTGCTTAGGACCTAAATTGCTGAGACTGGCCTGGAACTTGGAATTCTCCTGCCTTAGCTTCCTGGGTTGCTGAAATTACAAGCATGTGCCCTTGTGCTATTTTTTATTATAAAGGAAATGCTTCAGTTTTTCCCCATTCAAGTATGGTGTTGGCTGGGGGATTGTCACACACAGCCTTTATTATGTTGAAGTATGATCCTTTATTTGATTTACTCAGGGCTAACATGAAGGGATGTTGGATTTCATCAAAGATTTTTTCTGCATCTGTTAAGATGCTCGTGTATTTTGTTTTGTTGTCAGTACTAGGGACTGAATACAGAGGTCTACCACTGAGCTATATCACCTGCCCTTTTTATGTTTTATTTTGAGAGAGCCTCCGTAAGATTCCTGGGTTGGAATTGAGATCTAGTGATCACTCTGCCTTAACTTCCCAAGTAGCTGGGATTACAGAGAGGCATTACAGCATACAGTGGGCCTTTTTATTTTTATTTTAATAATTTGATCAGCTAGTCTGCATCTTTTAATTGGAGAAATAAGACCATTTATATTAAGGGTTATTATTGAAGAGTGTGTATAATTCCTGTTGTTTTGTTATTCTAATGTTTGATTCTTCGCTAATTCTCATTTACTGCTCTACTCTTCTAATGACATTTATCCTTTCCCATTAGTCTGTTTTTTCTTTTTTATATTTTATTTACATTTTAGTTTTTGGCAGACACAACATCTTTGTTTGTATGTGGTGCTGAGGATCGAACCTGGGCC